TTTGTTCGCAGCAAATGTCGATAGCCGTATCACCGCCGTTTGCATGCCACTGTACGCCTTGCTCATTCGGATGGATATTGGGACATTTCCAAGATCATAGTGCAACTTCAATGCACTTCTAAGCTCCTCTTCCGTAGTGATCTCGTCCAGATCCCTGCACTCGACCAGTGGAATAGAGCTCTTAAGCTCGCCCTTTCGCCAAGAGACTTTTCGACGATCTCCTTGAAGGCTGAGGTCTTGCTCGAAAGATCCTTCATCAGTTCAAAGAGCATCTCGCCTTTCTGGGTGCGCCTGGTTTTCACCACATTCTCTCCTAGTTCCTTCAACTTCAGATCCCTCCAACCTTCCGGATGAGTGCTGCGTACGTCGTTTTGTCCTTTGCTTCGGCGATTCCTTTCCTGGTGTTTCACTTTTCCTTTTCTCCGAGCGTGGATTTCAAGGTCCCTTCGAGGTCTCCTGTGCTTCAGTCGTTACTTTCTCGTTGGCCTCGATCAATGCCCTTTCGGCATTCTCGGTTATCGTCCTCAGCGCATTCTATTCACGTTCGGCAGCAATAATGGTCAGGCATGGAAAATTATTTACAGTCAAGATTCCTATAGTACAGATTCGTTCTTGCCGGATTCCTATGGTACGGTTTCCTCTGGATTCCTATATTACGGTCGATCCGGCATTAACGAATACACGTAGCATATGGGATTTGAGCTAATTAGGACCAAACACTGATTGTACGGCAATTTGAAGAGATAACTTTCTGATGTGTTTGGAGAAGTTGTTAAGCAGATAGTTGGTCATCTTTTGGGAATAGTCAGTTACCGGTAAGTCACAAGATTGGTCCTGTGGAAGATCCGGAACATCCGTGAAGTGGTCATTTTATGAAACTGATCCTAAAGCTCAGCGTTTTTTTTCTGATCTACTCAAAGACGTCTTATCAGAATGAATTTGGAGTTGTGACTAGAATATGGAGAATACGGGATGGCCCACCGGAAGATCCGGAACATCCATAAAAGTGGTTAATTCATGAAACCGATCCTAGAATTCCGCGGTTTTGTCGTAATCACTTATAGGCGTCTTGTCAGAATGAATTCAGAGTTGTGACCAGAAAATGGACCCTGGGGGGCTCGCTACTAAACGTCTATGAGCGGCTTCGAAAAAAATCGCGGAGCTCTAGGATTAGTTTCATGAATTTACCACTTTTACGCATTTTCCGGGTCTTCCGGAGGATCATATTCGTAACTTTCCGGATGCCAAATGTTCCCAAAAGGTGGCAAATTTTCTGTTTAATAACTTTTCAGAAGACATCAGGAAGTTATCTCTTCAAATTACCCTACAATAAGCGTTTGTCCCCAATTAGCTCTATTTCCATATGCTACGTGTATTCATTAATGCGGCCCCTATTAACCGAACTATAGGAATATTGACTGTACATTTATTTCATGCATTCATTTACATCCATTTGCCTATAACTTTTTTCATTAACAGAATTCCGTAGAACAATGAATGCAGCTTTTGTAGGCTTTGATATTAACTGTTGTCCACAAATCAAATCTGTATATCTTATGAATGATGAATCAGAGTGAACAGAACCCACCATTGTTTTTCATTGAAAACAATAACAAGCTCTTACACTCTAGTTCGTCATGCATAACAGATACAGATTGGGGTTTTCGACTAAATGCTTCATACATTATTAAGCGGAATTCTTTGCTGAATAAAAGTTAGAGGCAAATGGATGTAAGTGAATGTAAATGATTTTCCATTACTGCACACTTAGAAAAATTGGTGTAAATTAAGTTGCTCTGAGACTGACATATGCTAGAGTCAATTTTGACATAAATTGAGTCATTTGCTCAATCAAACGTATTTTCGAACTTTTCAGTACCGGAGCACTTAATTTTACATAACATGTTTGTTTACGTCTCATCCTTTATGTCAAAGATGGATTCCGTCACGTGTAAGATTAGGTATTTCTAAGTTTGTGATCACTGATTTGATACCCGTCACCATTTCCTTTATTGCCTGACCTCCAACATTGTGGTCTTCCCAAGCTGCAGTCCTTTTTGGGGTGTGCTACTGCTAAATTTCGCTGTGATCATCTGGCTTAGCATAAGACCTAGCTGTCCTTGGAGTCCTTGCTGCTCACCTTGGGGCTTACTGCTGCTGCTGGAACTCGATGTGACCACCAGGTTCAACATCCCGCTCCTTGCGAATACGTTCACTCCTCTGTTTTCACGGTGTTTTTCTACACTACAAGTCGCTAATACATCCCAAGATGGGCACTTTTACTGGAAAAATCACTTACATACACTTTTCCGTTCTTCCACTGAATAAAATCTCATCAGATGAATGTCATGCAAATTAGACCAAAACATTGTTAGTGCGAAGACTTTGGGTAACAAAGGATGAGAAAAGACAAAAAATTGAGAAACGTGTTTCTCGGCAACCATCAAACTGAATTGGACTCAAAACCTCCAAACGAAACCCAAGCAGCACACTTCCATCGAAATAAGTTGCTGCAAGTTGATTGTGACTGGAATAAGTTGCACACAAGTTGCCACAATTTTTCAGTGACAAGTGTGCTGCTAGGGAGGGATAGATGGTTTTTAGAACGCCATTGAGTTTTTTGGAATGGGTAAACTTGTTCCGGAGATATGGCTGGAATCGATCAGTTCCAGGCCAACTGACGAATCGATTTTAGTTTTTTTTCTCTCGAATTCCATGAAACTTCGCATAATTGTTCACTAGGGGCAATGAACCACATTTTTTGCAGGAATTCAGCTATTTTGGCTTTCGACTAAATATTTAAAGAGATGTGTTTGCGTTGGACCATTTTTGCATTAGTATAATCTTTTGGCAAGTACAATCATACTATATGGCCAGGGACTGGGAGTCGAACCCAACCGCATTCAGCGTGGTATTGCTTTTAACCTGCGCATTTGCCTGCCAGCATCGGTAGTGGAATTTTTTTCACCTTAGAAAATAAAACTCATTCCAAATGATTGCTTATTTACAAGAAGCATTCTAGACATATTTCTGCAGGCGATCAAAATTGAAATAGTTCTCATCCGCAAAACCGTATCCTAAATCCTCATTTACACCCTCACTCGGTTTCCTTGCAGCGCTCATGTTTGCGACCAAAGTATTATTTAATGATTATTTCTGTTGAATCGCTCTTTTGGCTTTGTCCTGCTGGTTCGATTCGGACTACATAGCAACTAACATCTGTGAATACCCGTCCATTAACATCGTCGTTGAATGAGTCTTTGTTCCGAAAGGCGAAACTCACACAAAACATTCAATTTAAACGAACTCCGCTGTTCCCACTGCCGCCATTGGCCAATGATGGTTATTAGTCATTCCAATTTCTGACGAGACTAGAGACGAGTCGAGTAGGTAGGATCTACGCTTCGGGCATCCAACCAAGCCAAGCCAAAGTCCCACACAATCCAACAGAGGTGAAGATACCACTTTGCGCCTATTTGGCATATACAGACGAAGGCTCGCTACTAATGCTGCTTGGGAAACCGAAACCAGAAAGGAAACAGTAGTAGTTCGCAGCGCTCCCCCCTCATCATCATACAAAACACAAAGCGAAGAAAGTTTTATCGCTGTGATTAATCCCGAGCCGGCCGTTTTCAGCTTCGTTTTCCGGCTACTGCTCGCCTGCGTGTGGCTGCCGTCCAACAGCTCTCCGGGACCGGAAATCAAAGAGTCTGAGTCCGAGTTGGGAAACTTTCGTCAACTTATCTAGTGGGCCTTGATAATGATGATGGTGATGCTGCCTACTTCCAACTACCCACACAGTGATGGGTCAGAGGCAAATATTTGCACTGGAACAACTGAGATGACTTTCGGAGTCGACCCCCTGTGCTATGGATTTAGACATTGGCAATAAGGTTTTCGGCGGCACATAGTTGGAGAAGTTGTTTCGGTCATGAATCAACGAAAATAACAATCGCATGGCCTGTCGTTGTTTGGCTATACGGTGGGCACCGTGATTGACCATTGGGAGTTTGTACTGCCATGGGACGAGTTAAACAAATTGCTTGTCATGATTGAAGCAACAGTTAGTTCGGAATGGCCTAGATTGAAATCTGACATGAATTCTGGATGTTTTAATTTGTTCATTGTTTTGATATTTAATATTACCTCCTGACTAGAGCACCGTTGATTGGCATTAAATAAGTTTACTGTTGTCAATGTCAATTTCGTGACGAAATCGATTTTGATCAATATTCAATGTGCTACGCTACGTATCCATAAAATTTGACACTTAATCCTATCACGTTGAAAGAATGCCACATTTTAGCTCGGGAAAATCTCTCAATCTATGATAATCGCTCAATCCGGTGTCCTGTGTTCAACCGGGCGATGCCGAAAGAAAAGGGGTATCGATGCGGTATGAGTTTTCCCATAACATAAACCGTATCAAAAAAAAAGTCAGCTTTCATGCCAAACCAGACAAGCGTCGCCGGTTGAATATAGCTGCCAAAAACAAACCCCTCCATTGTGGAGGTTTCAATGCACTGGACTGAGTCTATCCCAGTTTGCAACAAGTTCTTTTTTATGGAGATGTTAAACCCCTGTTCGGTCTGTTTTCTAGGAATTTCATTCATATATTATCCGGTGTGTTTCATCCCACCACCTGTTAATTGCCCTGAAATGAAACCGAGCCAGCTGTCAACTACTGTTGTTGTTTGCCATGGGAAGCTGCCAAAAGTGATTATCCTTTATTAGATAGCGATTTAATGCCCGGGTGGTTGATGCGGTTGACGTCTTGGCAGGCATTTTGATTGACTCTGTGTTGATGCTGCTGTTGATGTTCACACGAGCTCATACAGACAAGCTATGATGAGCGATTGCCATCCTCATCGCTCCGCTCACGCTCCACCCTCTCTCTCGCTCCGTTCATTGTCAACTACATATTAAATCAATTTAGGCTTGGTGCGTTGAATAATTTAATAATCACTAACTATATCTATCCTGTTCTTCTCCATTCACAGTTAGCGCCACAATGTCAACAGCCAAACGGCTGGTGCTATCGCTAAGAGGTCGCAAGGAATCTCAGAGCACCGCGGGCACATCTTCCACCCGATTAGTATCCTCGGCCAACAGCACTTCGCCCGGCCACGAACTCGACGAGATTGCGGTGGTCTCCGGGGTCGCTGAGTCGAGTCACGTCTCCTACGGTAGCCTCTCGCTCGGTCAAACCAATGGACCACGCTACATACCAGGTGAGTTGTCTTTCAGTTAGCTCTTCAAGTGGATGACTGATTCTTTATGAAATGTGATATAATTAATTACGACTTCTATTCTTGGGAAAACAGTTGGCAGTAGAGCAGTTGGCAAATGACGAATCGATCAGACACGACCTTCTCCGATTTGCATGAAACTTCGCTCAATTGTTTGCAGTCATGCACAATTTTGATAAAACTGGGCCATTTTGAATATTGAGCAGATCCACGCCAACTGACGAATCGATTTTATTTTTCCCTCTCCGACTCCCATAGCATTTGTCATAATTGTCCACTAGAGGCAATGATTGTGCCAGAATTCGGCTATTTTGACTAAAGCTTAATTTTCTAAAATGGCGTATTCGAAATTTTAAAATAAATCATAGCACTAAAGCGGCTCATCTATTCGAAATGACGTCTGAGACAAAGTTGTGGGAAAATGGATTGACTTTTCTGAATAAAAAAACACACACTGAAAAATAAATCCAAAATTTCCGTTAATCTTTAAAAATTTTATAACAAAAAAGTTCATTTTTAAGATGTTAAAAATTATGTTTATTCAATTAAAAAATGCAATCTTTTCTGATATTGGACGCAATGGACACTTCAAAATTGACCAATATCGTATATCACCATGAATCCGTACAAATTTCAAACTTTTTTTTTTCTCTCAAATAATTTTTATTGTTTGTATGCAGAAAACATATTTTTTAGTTCAGGAAATCGTTTACGTGATGCTTCACCAGGGTGGATCACTTGTTTTTCAATAGGGCTGTCCAAAAACCGTACATTTGGGCAAAAACCAAATGTTTGCACCACATTTATCTAAAAATAATTTGGAGAATGAGATATATAGATATGCTCTTGAGCAACACTGTTATTTTATTTCCATTCGTAACTCGAATTTTATGTATAATACTTTCCTAGGGTGGTTCATTTATTTGTCATGTGGGGTATATATTGACCAATTCCACGCCAAATCGGTCAGTCACCAAACTTGACTATCTTCGATCTGGATGATACTTGGCACATATTTTCAGCATGATAGACCAAGTATTTTCCGCAGGAGAGGAGACCCTTTTGACTCAAGGGTAATTTTTGAAAAGGGCCTATGTGTTTTTGCACACATACTTTAAAAAAAAAATTAGTTCGAAAACAGTTGATTGTAGAAAAAAAATTTACTAAGAAGGAGTTGTAGGAAACTAATAACGCTTTATAAAAAAAAATACACGGAATTTTTTTTTTCGTTCTTTTACAAAAAAATTAGAAATAAACCTCAAAATTCGAATAACAAAAAAAAAACGTATTTTTGATTTTTTTTTATATTTTTTTAATAAAAACTTGAATAGAAAGCAGAAGTTTTGAAAACAACTTCAGGATGGACAAACTTTTAATAAAAAAGTTTTTCTAAGAGCAACTTTTGAGGCATTTTTGAAACTTTCATTATTTACGGCATAATGTTCAGTTTGATGTCAGTATAAGATTATAAAAATCATTTCAAACGATAGTGCTCATATCGATAAACTTCCTTAATGTAACCGTTTTCGAGATATTTCAAATTTACTTTCATCATAATCAATTTTTTGTAGAAAATATGCCCTTTTTCATAAGTCATACGTGATTGTCCATCAAATATGATAAGTTTTGCAAGATATGCATGTACTTACCTTCAACTTACCCTTGCACCAATAGACTATTGGAAAATTGGTTTTAAAATTATAAGATAAATAAGATAAATAAATGAAATACCCATGCGTTTTTATTTGCATCTTACTTTTATTACTTTCGATCGTCTTTAATAATAATAATTTGTACATAAACCTTTTCGTTGGATATATTTTTATTTGATGAACTTTTGATTGGCATGTTTTTATATGTTATGAATGGTGCGTTCTTCGTCATTCGAAAATAGTTTCGCTGATATTTTATTTTCTTGTACCTGGGATCGTTTTGGTCTTTTCTGAAAATGCTTTGCATTCTGCAGCCCCCTGAAAAAAAATGCTTTTCCATTCTGCAGCCCCCTGTTCGTATTCCTTTTGTGACACAAAACAAAATGACATTTTTGTTAAATAATCATTACTCTTCTGGTTAGCCCATGCATATAACTCTGCTGCACTTGTGATTGGATGTTTGTGTTCTACAGCCACACTTGCGTTCCTTGCCATTAGTTTTAATGTACCACCAATCGCGTCACATGGTCCCTTGTCATGCGAAGTTGCAAAAAAGTGCCATTCAATATCAATATTGTACTTCGTTTTAAATATACAAAGACTTGCACAATTTTTGCAATTTTTATATTGGGATGCAGCTCCATCAGACATAAAAATCGCTTTTTTTACTTGTATTTTTGTTTGCAGAAAGGTCAGTAATTTTGAAATAAATACTTGCACCGCAATTGTATCGTGTTTTAAAACTTCAGAGATTACGATCAAACTTAAACTTTTAATTATACCTGATTCTGAATAATAAATGCAAAAAGGATGAATAGTAGCTTGTTGATTATTCCAGTAACTACTTTGGGCAGCATCTTGAAGAACAAATGAATAATTTTTGGAAAAATCACAAATTATGACAACTTCTCCATTTTTAAGAGTATTTTTTTGTATTTCTCAAGAAACTAGACTGCTGAGTTTTAATATAATCATGAGATACCAGTTTATCCAACTTTACGCAAAAATAAGGAACAAATCCATCTACTGGTTTTACAAGTTTCTCTAAACTACATCGATCAGTTGAAACCCATTGTTCAAAACATATTTCAGACATACCCTGTTCCTCGAATTTTTCTGAAAAACTTCTTTCAAAATCTGAGAGACCTGGACAACGTTCGCATTCGCGGAGATAACAATGTTTAGTTCTGGATGATGAGCTGCATAATATTTCTTCAAAATAATGGTTGAAATATTTTTCGAATCAATATTTTCTAAGACAATGAAGCATTAAATTAATATTTTCATGGATGGAACAAACACAAATATTGTGAGAACCTGAACTACCAAGCAATTTGCAATGCTTTGGTTTTAGTGCTGCAAATGAACTAAATCCAATGCTATTTTTACTAACTTCTTGAAATTTAATAAAAGCTTCTCGCAATGTACAAACTAAAAGTCGTTTTTGAATATGAATCTTCTTCACTGTAACGTAATCGTTAGGTCCTGGCGTGGCTCTGCTTATCTGGTCGCTTTCGAAGAACTGCAATACCTCGTTTTTAATTTCGGGATCCAAACCGTGTCCTAACCTTTCTTTGGGGGTGGCCAATACTCTTTTCCCGTTTTCCAAGCATCGAGCTTGCAATACAATGTATTTATTTGTTTCAAACTCGTCCATTACCGTTTGCGTTGACCAAGATTGCGGCAAAATCGTCAGAATCCTTATTTGATCGTCTCTCGATGAACCTGGATCAGCAAATCTCTCCTTCAGTTGTCCGATCATCTCATTGTGTTCCGCAGCTTTCAATTTTAGTTGCTCCAGGTCATCTTCTTCCGCTTGAAAACCGAAGATGCGTTTCTTAATGCCATTGGTAATGTCCATATACTTTCTCCGGGGATAGTTTACATTCTGGAATTTTTTTTTGTCGATATTGGCGATACGTTGATACCAGCTATGCCCTTGTTGAATAGCTCAATATTATGCGTCCTGGAAAATTGTTGCTCTCCACTATCCTGAGATGATGCTGTTGTTATTGACGTAGTTGATGGTATTTCTTCGAGGCCATGTGGAGATGTAGATGGCTGCGGCTCCGCGATGTCCATGACTGACGGTTGCACTTCTAGTTCCAGATTTTCAGCACATGGTTCGATTCTATTTAAATTCAAGCGACACGTATCACAGATTGATAGAGATGTATCCAAATTTAATTTTCACTCTATGAACAGTTTTTCAATCAAATTTTCGGATAATTTACGAAGCTTTGACGAACACCGTTTATTAGGAAACGGCTTGCAACATTCGACCTTTTTGAATTCCGTATTCAAATTATATTTGTTCACTCAAGATTTTTTTAGTGATGTCTGTTTTCAAAAGGATGGTCATGCTTATATACAAACGTAGGTACCATTTGGACATTCAGGTATAAATATTGTTTTGGTATTGAAGCTACTCTAACAGGGAAGCTCTTTTTTTCAGGAAAAATACCATGGAAGACATTATAATGTACCTAAAATAATAAGATGGATAGGTACATCAATATTAACAACTTAAATAATAACGGCGCCGGTGGTGTAGTGGTAAGCGTGATTACTTCCCACCCCAGCAGGCCTGGGTTCAATCCCAGTCGGCGCCACCGGGATGTTCTGAGGCATAACATCTCTGATCACGCCTTCCTTCGGATGGGAAGTAAAGCCGTTGGTCCCCGGTTCATGAGTTGATGGGTCGATAGGTAGGGTCCAGGTGTGGGAGCTGCCTTCCTGGCACGTCGGTAGCATTGGTGCTCAGCACGGAAAACAAGATCGACGGAAAAAACAAACCAAAGGAAAAAAAAAACAACTTAAATAGGATGAAACTACGCTTGATAATGAAAATAAGTGCAACTTAACTTGTGTTGGTTTCTATATTTAAAATAATAGTGTTTTCATTTCCCCTGTAAATTCTAAACGGGTTGTCTGATCGTTCAATCGGGAAAAGACAAATTGAAGGTAAATATATGTGTATCTTGCTAAACTTATCAATGCTGATGGAGAATCACGATTAACTTATGAAAATGACTTATTTTCTACCAAAAATTGATTTTGATGAAAGTAAATTTGAAATATCTCGAAAATGGTTATATTTATGAAGTTTTTCGATATGGGCACTATCGTTTGGAATGATTTTAATAATCATATACTAACATCAAACTGAACATTTTGCCGTAAATAATGAAATTTTCAAAAATGCCTCAAAAGTTGCTCTTAGAAAAACTTTTTTATTGAAAGTTTGTCCATCTTAGAGTTGTTTTCAAAACTTCTGTTTTCTATTCAAGTTTTAATAAAAAAATATTAAAAAAATCAAAAATATGTTTA